TTTTGAAGGGGGGCCCTCTTTTTTTCACCACAAAAAACCCCCCCCCCCCCCCCCCCCCCCCCCCCCCCCCCCTCTCAACTTCTGCTCCATGGAAGCCAGATGGAGATGGAGAGTACAGTGCTTCAATAAACTAAGCCTCCTGCTTTCTTTTCCTTCATGGCTAAGAGAGGGCAATGCAGCATCCATTAACAATATCTCATTCATTAGCAAATAGAAACCGCCCCAGTCATTGCTAAAACAAAATTAAAAAAACATTGAGCCTCCATATCAGGAAATTGGCAAAGGCAGGCTAATGAAACCACAGTGGCCGTTGGAAAAAGGGCGGCAGTTTGGTGGCTGTGTGCCTTGCTCAGGTCTCAGCGGTGCATGCGGTGGATCTCTTACGGCAGCCACAGCTTCGGTCACATTGTGCAGAGGCTGCTTGTTTTTCTGCCGCCCGCCTCTGAGAAAGCCGGTGTCTGTCTTTAGACAAAGCCATGAGGGTGATTGCAGTTGCTTTTAAAAACTGCATCATCCTAGGAACACTGTGGTAGAGAATTACACTGTGTAACCTCTCACATTCAACAACAGCAACCATCTGCCTACTAAAAGAAGCCAAGAAAGTATAGTGTGCTGACAATAAGGTCCGTTTTGTTCAATTTGTGCACTATTCCAAAGCGTTACTTGAGATAAGTGCTGAGATAAGTGCTGACGAGATTGTGATTCTGTCACCAGTAGTTGAAAGAAATGTCTTATCTGTCTCTGGAGTATATATTGTAATGGTACATCCTCAACTGCAATCTTACCGCAGGCCAAATTGTAGCATTCCAAGTAGAGAAAAGCAAATGCTGGGCTTCTTGAACAGATGACAGTTCCTGGATTCAAGGCAGGTATCGACAGTTCAGCGTGCATACGTGCTCACCACCAGAATACTAATTAAGATCATTATACCTCCTTCTTATGATCTGCTCCACGCTATACGAGCGTACACGTGTCCAAAGAACACTCACTCTTGCACAGATGTCTTCATCATGAGAGGATGAATTCATCCCTATAGATCTCGCCTGCCCTCTCCCTGAATCCCTGAGGATGAGAAATTGTCAGGCCCTGTGAAATAATCGTAGCTTTCAACGCTAATGGAATCCCTGCACATTCATTATTCAGTCCAGGAAACAGAGTGCTGCAAAGTGTCAAGGGACCTATGAGTTATTGCTCATCGTGAACTAACCTTACCGCGAGGGAAGTGACAGAAGCCCACTGAACTTTCTCCTCCTCTGCCATTCCCCCCCCCCATCCATTTATCTCTCCTTTGCATCCCTCTGTCCATCTGCAGGGTTTTGGCAGGCACCACACAGAGAACCCGAGATTGCATCACAGCTGTGGCGTGGTCAGACGACCGGTGATGGGTGTAGAGTGACGCTGCAGACAGAATGACTGACGGTCTGGCCTCTCTTGTGTCACTGCAGCGCTTGACCACGGACAGTCATGAGTGGTGGAGAAAGGTTTTCCCTGTGTTACGGCCCTCCTGGGGCTGCTGGGGGATTTACGAGGAAAGCATGAAGGAGGAATGCAGGGGGGGGGGGGCTAGGTTCACTGACCTGCGGATAACACATGGCAAGAAACAGATAGGTTTGATATGTGAACATGCCCGCACTTGTGCTTAGGGTAAAGGGACACCGAGAGCCAGTAAATACAGTCACTCCACACTCCTAAAAAGCAACACACATCAGACAGAATTCCAGCAATGCACTTAAGCCGTCTTCATTTCCTATGTCTAGACCTCGGAACTCTTGCCGTTACTCAACTTTAAAGTGAAAGTGAAGGGAAGCAGCCAGACCTATAGGCCTTTTCTTTTAAATCAGAGCTACAGAGAAAAGCAGAGAGATAACATGCCACGATGATGTACAGCACACATTCATGCAAACTTAAAACACTTGAAAGTATCCTTTCTATGCCCATACTTGTACAGCCTATTTAGTGAGCCTGTTTAGTATCCTTAACTATCTGCATATCTGGGACACTGTGTGCAATTTGCAAAGGCTAATTTGTTTTTAACAGCTCTTAAAACCAGATGGAAAAACCCCACCCCCACAAGGACCCACTCTTTTGTCTACCATAGAGAAACACGCTCGGCCATGCACCACTACACAAACCATTTCTAGAGATTCTAGGACTTGAAAATGCTTCTCTACTCGTGCGCGACCCGAGGATTTTTCCGTTCCTTCTGCACTGCTACTGCTGTCAATCTGCATTGCAGAATCAAACGCAGGCAGGGAATTGAACAAATTATTCAGCTGATGGCAAAAAAACAAAACAAAAAGAAACATCCATCTTTGCAAAGCACAAGTGAGGGCTACATGAGCAATATGACCACATCAGAATCAATTCACCTGCCTGTCGGCCATAAGTTGTTTCCCCATCTATCTAACTGTTACTATATTAAAAGATACAGGTTTTGTGAAGTTCGGTATGTTTCCCTTCAGGCTTTGAATATCAGCATGAAGATAACAGAGCTCCGTGAAGCTCCAGGCGTTTAAAGCATACATTAGCAGACCTCTAATTTACCGAGTGTAATTGAGTATTCTCGTCTGCGGCCGTCTTTTAGACTCGGGCAATTTAGCATGCCGGCATGTTGCTATAAAGCTGACCCAATTAATTTGATTAGCAAACTAACGTTCAAGATACAGAGTTCAACAACATGAGTCGAATGGTAAAGAGTTGGTAAAGAGTTGGTAAAGAGTTGGGGGGATGCTAATGAGGAATAAGTAAATGAGGGAGATGTGTATAGAGGAGTTTGTGTGTTATATTTGGTTGAACAAAAGCCTTGGACAAGGATGAAACAAGCAGGAGTTGACTTTATTGAGTAAGTATATGATCAAATACTAAGCAGAGATGTATGTTTTCATGAATACAAAACAAGGTATTTGTATCAAGTACATTATGAGTGAGCAAACTCCATTTGCTGCTGAAGATGCTGCGATATGGAGGAAAGCTGTGTAAAAAGCTCGTACGTGAACCTTGTGTTGTGTTTTTTTCATTTATAGGCTAATTTTGAATAGAATTGGAGATAATACAGGAAAGGAAGGAAATGTCTTTGTACCTGTAGGTCTAAATGATAAGGTGTTTGAAATACACTTAAATGATTTGGTATCTGCAAGCACAAAATGTGTCATCTTGTAGATTATTTAAAATGTCTCTTTTTTCAGCCTTAAAAAAAAGAATTTGTGGAATGGGAGGAAGAGCCAGATTCCTGCAAGTTCTAAAGCTGTTACTGTACAGTGTTGCCTGTAAGTCTCAGTCCAGTCACACATCTTTAGTGTTTAGTTTCCAGCACACTGGCTTAAATTGCTGAAAATAACATTTGAGGGTGTTAATGCTAAACTAAATACAGTAATCACATTTAATATGTGGTTGCATTGGTTTCCATTCAATGAGAGGTCAACAAATAATCAGTTATCTTTTCCTCGTGCTTGTTTCAAGAGTTTTTTTCCCTTCAGTCGGGTTATATCAGCAGTGAATCATATGATCAGTGGGATAGATGTCAGGTGACTAACTTGGCTAGTCTGGAACATGGCATAATTAGGGCATAAATGGTTGCCTTGTCTGTATGTGTTGGATGATTGTCCTAAAACTGGAGATGTAAAAAGAGCAATTATGTCCAACGTTCTTCGCCCAATATGGATGAGAACACCCCGAAACAGTTATTTTGTATCCAATGTAATGGAGTACAGAGCCATACCAAAATGAAAAGGATTCTATGTGCTTTCTGTGATCTACAATGACCGCAGGGTACATGAATTAGAAATAGAAGAAAAAGATGGGCGAATGTTTTGCACAAATTTGGGCAAACTGGGATCAGGCATCCATTCCTGCCTGCTTTTGCCCCGCTGACATGATGTTGCGTTGGTACACAGGCACGGAATGTCATTTGTTTAAAACAGTGACATTATTTCCAAAGTATTTCTGCCCTGGGTATCAATTATCATAATGGCTGCCTTTGCCAATGCCACGCAATCCTCTCACATCACACGCGCACACACACACACACACACACACACACACACCCCGGTGCGGTACACTTGCTCCACTCCTCTCTGAACCCCCCCTTCCCACGATCCGCCCACCACCTCGGGACTGGAGTCACGTGTCTCGCCGCCCTGTGTCTCTCCGCGAGCCGACACCACCACAAATCAAACTCACCCACCGCCCGGTGGAGAGAGAAAAGAGGATGAGAGACGGAGAGGTGCACGCGGACAGAGAGCACCTACGACGCCAGTGGGTTATAATGGAGACTGTTCAATAGAAGCTTTCCGCGGTGGTGATCCGAAATGAGACGTTTCCCGCAGAGGAGGGATGTAACGAGGCATCTGAACAGGACGGGAGATGAGATTCACACAGTTTCGGAGACTCTCTTCTTCCGGTGATCTCAAACAGTCCGCCCTGTGAGCCGCTGGGTCTTGGGCGGTGTACGGGACAGGGGGCGCACGGCTAACCGCCGCTCCAGCTCAACGGTGGATTGAAGAAGAAAATTAATAATTGCCGTCTTAATTCAACCTGCAGGAGCTCTGTGGGTCCCCGAGGGGGAAGAGTGGTCTTCACCATGAGGGCTTTTTCAGCAAACTTGTTCGCCCTCCTTTTCCTGTGCGCCCTTGCAAGTGTTTTCTACGTGTGGAGCGCACTGGAGAACCGTTTGGAGCGACACAAACGTGGGTTCCCAGTACCGGGCGGAGGCTCTTCCCACCACGGTCTCCCAGTGGACCTCTCCGCCAAAACTTTCCGGGCATTGCTCGCTGTCCCGGCGGCACAGAGACCGCACTTGGGGGGCAGACTTGAGGCTCCCAACCTCACGGATCAAACTGCCTCCGCTGGAACTCGAGATTACCATGTGAATGGGGATAACAAGAGGTCAGCGCTGCGGGAGGGCCCGGTCAAGTTGGGCTCCCCGGTGGAGGATGGGATATTTTGGAGTGAACGTCTGGAGGGTCTCCTCCCAGCGGGCTTCACGGAGGAATATGCAAGGGCTTGGCGAGAGAGAGCCAGGACGCACCGAATAATGAAGCTGGAGCCCGGATGCGGCAGGATATCGAATCAGCTCGCCACTTTTGCAGACGGGACGAAAGCGTGTGTGCGTTACGGGATAAACGCGGATCAGGTGCAAGGGGAAACTTTGACTTATTACCTCGCCAGTTTGCTGGGCATCACAAACCTGCCTCCTCTAATACTGTCCCAGCTGAACGGTGACGGTGAGCAATGGGCGGCTGTGAGGACGGGGATCGGTGGATTACAGTGGAGTGATCGAGCCGTGGTTTCTCTCACCGAGTGGGTCTCCAACCTGACCGGGGTGGTCACACCGGCGCCGCTCAGACAGGAGAGCGGCGGGCTGCATCCCGTGCTCCCGGAGCTCTGGAGCAAGACGACGGCGGAGCTACTGGAGCTGATGCAGTGGACCGACCTGATCATGTTCGACTACCTGACTGCGAACTTCGACAGACTCGTCAGCAATCTGTTCAGCCTGCAGTGGGACTCGCGCGTCATGGAGAGGGACACCAACAACCTCCTGAAAACACCCCGCGGTGACCTTGTGTTCATAGACAACGAGGCCGGGCTCGTGCACGGCTTTCGGGTGTTAAGCATGTGGGAGAAGTATCACAATACGGTGCTGGGGTCCGTGTGCGTGTTCAGGAAAAGGACCGTGCAGCGCGTGGCGGAGCTGCACAGGCGCAGAGACGCCAGGACAAGGCTTCTGGAGCTCTACAGAGACAGCGAGCCATTGTCTCTGGAACTGGGATTTCTCTCAGACGAGCACGCTGGCATTCTCCAGGACAGGATAGACAGATTACACAGACACATTTTGCATTGCAAAGGAAAGTACGGCGAGCTGTGAACACTCAGCGGGCACAGGTGACGGATTTGTTGTTGGCACAGTCTAAACGGGCTCTGCAAACGCGATTTGGCACACCTGTGCTAAACTGATGCGCATTACACTAACTGTCTTGAATACCCAGTTGAACTACCTCTTGTGAATAGAATGCGATGTCTATACTTTATAAATAAGTACATTTGACACATGTTTATAAGCTCCCTGCTGAGATTTCCACTGTATGCCTCACAGAGAGGAATTATTAAGGCTAGTCTCTCTCCTGTCTTACTTCACCCCACTAATGCTCACCGAATAGAATTAAATATAAAGAGTAGTATGTTGTGACCAGGGTATCATAACGCAGCCCGTCCATGTGTATTTGGATGCTTGCCTTGTGTTCAGCAATCCTAATGATAAACTCCTAAGCCTTAACATAAGGTGACTCTTGGAATTCTGTATTTCTGTTGACATCTGGCTCGCTTTATATATAAAGTTGTTTGCACAGTGCACTGTGATAGCAGCGCCTGCACTCCTGTAATTGTGTTTGAATTGCATATTCAGCCTTAAAGTCAGAGGTGTACCATGCCACTTGTACATGTAGTAAGTACGTTGTAAATATTGTCTGCCGACCTGTTTTGGAAATGTGATACTCCACTAATTTAACGTGCATTGTAACATTCCAAATTCTCTTGTCCTTTTTGATAAATACACTGTAATTTAATTTAACTGCTGTCAAACTGTGTTTTGTTATGCAGTTACTTAACTGCCTTATTAGAGTGCATCAAATATGTATCTACTCTGCCTTTGTATAGGCCACCTCCTGCCTCTGTAAGCCTCTGTACTTGCCCATTACAGTGCTCTCATTGTGCTGTGGACATATCTTGTGCTGGCACACTGTTCCCCAGGAGCCATTCTGTCAGCCACTCGCACGCTACAACAGGAATCTCTAATCCCCTATATAATCTCACCCAGAATGATAAAGTGAAGGAGACAACTGACATCATTTGACGTCCTTTGAAAAGGACTATGTCACAATGGAGTGCTTTTCACAACCAGAAGACAGATTGCAGAATATTTGTCAGTCTATAAATATTAAATGGTCAACCTATACGGCCAAGGCTGGAATCTGGTTCAAGGCTGAACCAGATTGGTTCAATCTGTTCAATTAAAAAGTAAGAAAACTCCCTTTGTGTGTGCATGTGCTGCTGAGAGACCAAGCCCACAATTAATGAGCGCTCAGCTCTCAGAGGAGAGCCTTGTTTACAGTTTTTCAAAGGTTGAATTTGTAAGGAGAAAAAGTACATCATGCCTGGAGGTCAGCTGCATTATTGTTTGCCTCATGCTGTATGCTTTCACAAAACCACATCTTTCTTTAATTTGACCCTTTTGGAAGGCATCCTCTCCTCATTAGTTCCACTGTGCAGCACAGCTCTGTGTCTGATTTCTGGTTCGAGACTTCAGAGGGAAAGCCAACGATCGAACTTTTGAAGGCCTAATTCTTTCCAGCCTCTCACTGTTCTGCACCTCATCTGGTTTCTTTTACAACTTTTTTTAAATGTATGGCCAGCTCCAGGGCACACCACTACTGTTAGTACATCTCCATAGAGAAGGCTGAGTGCACCTTGTTCAAATAGTTGCGCGATTTGTACTCGCACCTCATTTCATGGCTTACAGCGTGCGTGTCAGTATCAATGAATTATGTTTCTCCTTGCTAGGTCACTGCGTAAGTGGCAGAGAAGCAGCGGAGGCTTAAGCAGGTGTAACCGGAGGCTTTTTCCAGGCCAACTGCCTGCTGCAGCTCTAATAGGGACTTGGGGATCAATATGTATACTGGCTGTTGTATAGGGGGAAGCGGGTCATGTTAATGTGCTGGGTGTAGGGTTAGCATGTATGCGTGTGTCGTTCAGAGGGGGACAGGGGTTGCAGCTGGGCTCTGAGCATGTCTGTTAATGCTAAACTCTGCAAAGAGATTTACGACAGGCTGCAGACTCCAGGGATTAGACACAACGCTGAACTGAGGTCAACAGGTCTAAGCCAGACTCACGACCCATCCTCCTTTTCCTGCCTCGCACAATCACCCTCCCTGAGTGTTTCAGCCACATCTCGCTCTTCCTGCCACATCTGTCTTCACTGTTAACATCTCTTTCAACCTCATTTGTTAGCTAAATGGAAGATGAAAGTTTAATTTCCCTAATGAGGGTTTTTTTGGGGGGAGGGGTGGGGGGTGGGGTTATTTATTTGCAAAAGAAAGCCATTTTTTATCCAGGGACCACGCCAGCTGTAATCACACTAATGGTGGATATCAAAGAGGTTGTTGAATCCCCATTTTAACTGTTCACATATGTGCCTCCCTCCCTTTCTCTGCCTGGCTTATTTCAGATCACCAAACAAACTCCTTCCCCCCCCCCCCCTCTTTATTCTTTCAGAGCCAACAAAACCTTAATGCACATAACTTGGTACTTGGCGCGTTATAACTTGACATAACATGACATGGTCAAATGAGTGCAGCTTGTCCTAGCTTGTGGCACTGGCACAGTAGGTTATTATTTAGTAGGCCTATATGGCAGTTAGTCATGCCTTTATACATGCCAGTGCTGTGTGGTTCCCTCCAGATGTGCTTGTTTTCTGTGTCAGTAAGCCGAATCACAGGCTCAGACAGTCATACCAGCCAGGGGCCCACAGCAGGCCCCGGCACAGACCCCAGGTACTCAAACCGATCTTTTTCTTTGTGCACATTGCAAACATTCCAGAGGAACTGAGGGAGGATCATCTCCATGGACACACAGACGCACACAGACACTTCTCAGACAGGCGAGTGGAAGGAGTCCCAGCTGAGTACATAAACCGTTGTTAAAGTTGGCTGAGATCTCTTTTTTTCTTTTTTAAACCACCTATTCAAATAAAGTTATTCACATTGATGCAACATTTTAAAGGCTGTTTTTACACTTGTTTTGTAGGCATGTGTATAAATGAGTTAGAACTTTGTAATTAGGGAGCTTTAGAGGTGCTGATAGGTGCATTTTGTCACATTCACTCAGAGCCAAGGTTGCAGTTTCCGTCCGTTCCCATCCTTTATTCTAATAAGCTAACAAACTGCTAGCTGTTGGAAACACGGAAAATAATTTAGTAAATTAAGAATTTTAAAAAGTCATTATCACCCAGTGACAGTTGCTTACTACACCAAACTAATTTGCATGATATCAAATATGAAGTGCTTTGGACCAAAAAGTAAAATTGGGTGTTTTGCTAGACACCAGGTGACTGACTGACTGCCCCTTTCCCGGTGGGCCTGCCATGTGTGAATGGACGGACATTACTGGCATTCTTTTATGGCTGCAGAGCGCAGGGAACTTCCTGTGCATGACTGAATGATTTCATTATGAAACACGGCACATACTAGGGGGAGAGTCAGTTAGTCACAGCTGAGTGGATACGGGCCATAAAGGGTAAACTGGGGGGACCAGGGCAACGACTGGAGGGGCTTTGGCTTCGGACACAGCCGGGCTTGTGGTGTGCCTGGAGAGCTGGCACAAAGCCTGGCTTTGTCCAAACCAGCGGTGAAAGCATAAGGCCAGGACCTTTGGGCATTCTTTCTCAAGACAAAGTAGAAGGTAATAAGCAACAGAGGCAGGCAAAAAAAAAATGGCTACACATACCTCAGCTAATAAGAGGAGGAAAAACAAACGCGTGTCAAGTGTAGTGACCTCCTCTGTTTTCATGTCGGCATGTGTATGTCCAAATTCATTTCAGTCCAATCCATGATGTCGATGTTTGGATTGGCTAGATGTTTGGATTGGCTAGATGTTTGGATTGGCTAGTTTCCCAGTTTGTGACTATCCACAGGTGTGAGTTTTGGAACTGCGGCATGTAGTCCCATTTCATCACACACTGCGACTTTAACAAGCGTGTCTGCCTGGAAACATCACCAGGGACACACAGCTTTGTCAGCCTCTGCCATATGGATTTACTTTTAAAGTCAGCTGTGATAGCACACAAGCGTTTGATGAATGAGAGTAAATAAAAAATATGAAAAGCGACAGAAAAAAAGTTTGAAAAAGAGAAGGTGAAGCAATGGGTTATGTATAAGGGCGATGAGTATGTGTGTGACCATGCAAAACTCTATGGCAGATTTGTCCTTTCTCCAACAAGAGATTTCCCTAAACTCTGATGGCCGCTGTCTTCAGACAATTAACTTGTGTCCTTGAATGGGAAATTGTTTTTTGCAGGGCTCTATCGCAGTAACTCATACACAAGGGAGCAGACTCATCTGTCCAGCTGTTGTCCATTCTCTCAGGGCTGCCCTTTATGGAAAAGATGACATCCAACATTTCCATCACAAAGCCCCGTTAGTTCCATAGCGCTGCAGTTTATTTTCTCACTCTGTGATGACTACCAGTGACTCAGATCTTCGATGTAGTTCATGTTGACAGAAATATATCAGATAACGCAGACATATGACATTACTGCATTATATTCCTCGTCATCGTTCTGTTATTATTAGATTTGGAGCAATAATATAGCCTACAGTATGTATACAAATAGGCATAGAGATCTGAACATAATCCTTTAAACTGTTTTTGAAACATGTACTGATTAACCTCAATTTGGATTCCCTCTATTTTCCTTTAATACGATTTGCTTCATGCCAGTCATGCCATGCATAAAAATAAATCCTGATTAATTCCACCACTTAATTCCATCCTATTTGTTATGCCTTGTCCCGCAAGCTCTGTCTCCAAAATGTCAGAACATAGCCTGCACAGTCATAATGTAAAACATTTGCATTTTATATCATAAAAAGAATAAGACTGTCACATTTATAAATGATAACGGACTTATTTTCCTACAGGATGGGCTAGATGAAAGACTTTACCATTGCCAGAAGTAAAAGTGGCAAAACAAAAAGTTAGTAAAAGAGGTAGATTCAGCATGTGCCCTTTCCCACCATAGCATGTCTTAAAATTCTGTTTTGTTTATCAAATCGAAGTCTACCCAGGCATGACATTAGCTCCCTTGTAAAGACCGTGCTGTGTTCAAATGTTTTGCCTTGCCTTCTCCTCCTTACTTCTACTGAAACGTCACGCAGTATTTTGATTGACATGCTTGATGGGTTTTTGATGTATTCTATTCCCCTGTTGATGCCTGGGTGCAGCCCGGGGACCTGTTTCAAGTACACGCCGTTTTGCTCATTTGCATCTGGATTCATCTCTATGTAAATGTGAATTAGTATGCTTATGGAAATGTTGTCTTCCATCTTTTGTTGGCAAAAAAAAGGTGCATTAATGGGGAGATAATCTATCATTTTGTTGCTGAATTCTTCTTTCTCATGGCCACCTGCAACTAAGCTAAGATTGTGGCCGTAATTAAGATATTTCTATGCAAACGTTGTGAGTGGAGGATATGAATCAGCCCCAATGCTGGACAAAAGAGTTGATTGGTCCAAATGAGCTGGCAGGACATATGAATAATTAATAATAGGAATGAGGGGGTGACTTGTCTAATTCTGAAAAGGTGTGTGCAAATGATGCAGCGCTCAGCAAACCCAACTCTGATATCTGACACATCTTATTATTTAGCTTCTAAATGTATTAAGTCTTACTCCCACTGAACAGCATGAAACTATCTGCTCATTATAACCATACTTGTTGTCAGTGGAGTTTTCTTTTTTCCCAGCGTGCTGTGACTGTGTCATAAGGGCTTTGTCCTCTCCGTGCCTGAAGTGCAAAGCGAATCGATACGCAGAAGGGCAAGAGGACGTGCGATACTTGATGACAAAATACCTACAAGCTGCTGAAACAGCACATTCCTTCCTGCTAGCCGACCACTTGCTCTCTGAATGTCAGCGTTGGCTGCAAGCTGTGGCCTGTCAAACACCTGCGTGTGGTCGCAGTAGTCCTTTTGAATTATAGCCCCCATTGGCTGCGCCGGTGCTCAGTAATTCGGTCATTTCTATGTAAATTGTGCATAGTAGTATGTTGTACCACACAAACGCTCCGGCTTGCCTCGTTCCATAATAATACTCTGTTTCACGTAAATGATTAAAGCTAATTGTGAGAAAATGTCACAGCAGTCAATCAGTTAAGTAGATAGGTCAACAGGAGTGTAGATAGAAGAGAAGGGCACTCAGGCATGCAGCGACAAAAACAGGCACAGGAGGCAGGCAGTCGTTTTGGGTTGCGTCCAGATGCTGGCTTCTCTCTTTAGAGGTGGGAAGGGAGAAGAGCTCACTAGAGACAAACATTAGAGTGGGGGGGGGGGGTTATGGCTGACTCTCATCTTGTTCTCATTTGAACAAGATTGGACATGCGTTAGTGAAGGTGAGATGGGACTACCTAGTATAGGAGACAGCAGACTGAGGCAATACATTTAAAAAAATGGAACACATTTTTATACACATAAATCTCAGCTCTCACAGACATGTTTATCCCTCCTGTCCTTGACAACAATAGCATTTGATGGCATGTCTTCCATGGCTTGTCTATCCTAAAAAATCCTGTGCGTAAGTTTAACTTAAAATAAAGAGTGCAGTGTTGTCATTGGTGTTTTTTTATTCTATCTTTGAAAATAACTGGAGTTTGTCCTGCCTGTACAACATTTCAAACATCCTTTTCTACATTCAGTTATCTCAGCGATGCTTGCTGCTTATATCGTCGAGAGAAATTGTTTAATTTTAATGGTTAACAAGTTAAAAACAGAGGGTAGAGGCTCCTAGGTAGCATTGAGTTGAAATACTGCATGTTAAACAAGTGAGAGTGAGAGCCCATTTTGTTTGTACACGAGCATGATGACTTGCATGCACAGGACTTGCATCCACAGGCAACACATTACACATTCCTGGTGCCAGTTTCCCACTTTTTCACCGATTAACAGTTTTATGGTAAATGAGAAAATAAGTGCAGCAATGCACGACAACAACGGCAGGGAAGAAGAAGACGGCAAGCACGCAAACAAGCAAGGATGTCCTCCACCAAAAAAATGATTCGTCTACGAATACTATACTCACTAATACTAATTCTCACTTTTGACGACTTATCAAACAGTTAATAGAATTAATAAAGTTTCTTTTGTTAAATCAAACAAAAGCACCACTTCAAATATTTGTCTCCCAGATATGTGCTGATTAGATTCTTGGAAATAAATAATTTAGAATGAAAAAGCACAAAAAAACGACTAATCGACTATAAATCTTGGTCCACTATCACCACAATCAGTTGATTAGACGACTAAGATAGGGCAGCCTTACAAACAAGCTTGTAAACTAAACAAGATACAAATAAAAAATGTTTTTTGAGAAGGGAAATGCACTCAGCACATTTGTTTGGCCTCACGATGTGTTTTGATGAGAAACAAAATGATTACAAGACAACTCCACAATGAAACTTTAAACTCTCCAATTTTAGCCATCGAGTCAAATAAAAATAAAGGTCATGCCATTCATGTTCGTGGGGAGTCGGCCAGGGGAGAAGGTGGAGGACTCGGATGCCTGTGTGCTTTGGGGGCAAATTGAAAACGCTGTATCCAATTCTCATTATACTTTTATATGATCGGTGGAAATTACAGTCTTCATTATCCCCAGGCTAACAGAATGGCTGACAATGACGGGGGCTATGGGAATCTAACATTAGCAGACACTAGACTGAGAAGAAAAGGTGGACAAAAACAATAAAAGGAACCATAAAAACATGCAGACATGCTGTCTTCCTTGTATTTCATAATATAATTGAATCATATGTTATTAAAAAGATGGCCTCTCCCAGAGACATTCTTTTTCCCTTCCCACCTGTAACCTGACTCATCTCAAATAACAAGTCTGAGACATCACGCCAGCAGCCACAACCATTGACGCGACTGCAGGGTGAGGCTGAGTGTCTAGCCCTTTGGGACAAGATTCAAACCAAAGGGGAAACAATACAGGGTGTAGTGGTTGACTTCCTCCCATGTTGAGCAGCAATTCAAGCAGCAAACCTTCGTGTTTCAACTCTATACTTTGCATAACACACATCCTTTGGCCTAAAATGTTGCATGTGGGAGGTTTCAATGTCCCACATGCAAAGAAAAAAAAGGCTTGTGGCTGCTGTACTTGTCTTGATTTCATAGGGTACTCTCTCTTCTTATTCTCGCCCTCACCCTTTCACTTAATTCCCTTTCTATCTTTCTCATTCTATTTATTCACATCTATTTGGCCCGTGCAAATATTGCCATTGTGAGACCCTGCGAGCATTGATCGATTGTGGGTGGGGGCTAATCATCCGGGCTAGTTACAAAGACATCTTCCACAAAATCAATGTCACTGAAAGAGAAACTCAATCTTTTTAGGGTTCCACAATCCTTTGTAATAAAGTGCTGTCTACCACGAGGGGAATATAGTGTCTTCTCTCATTTTGTCTATTTTCATTTTTTTTTTTTTTCAATGTCTTCGATTTCTGAACCAGCTCATTTTTTTCTATATCATTTATCCTTTAAAAGAAAAAAGGGATGGGGGTTTATTGGACTCTTGAGGGTGTGAAATATATCATTGAGATTAGCTACACTATATGAGTCAACTTTAATGGCAGAATTGATGGGCTCCCATCAGGAAATGGAAAGTATAGAGATTGGCTGTGAGATGCACTAAGCATGGGCAAAGAGAGTGCAAACAAGAGGTTTATTCAGTTGACTTTTATGTGTGGAGACAGCAGGGAGCAATAGTCATGTCAACTTAATGGCTTGATTCCAGACCCTTAAATACACGCAAACGGACACACACAATAGAACGTTTCGTTGATCAACTGACTTGTTGATCAACAATTTTGATAATGGATTAATCGTGTAAGTCTGTTTTCAAGTCATTGTCAGTTAAATGGTCTTTGGGTTATGGACTCTTCATCAGTCAAAGCAAGCCATTTGAAAATGTCACCTTCGGCTACGAAAATAATTGGTTAATAGAATATTGTTAAATATTGTGTATCCAACCACTGAATCTGATTATATTGTATTTTTTGCTTTTATTTTCGATTTACTTATTTGTTATAACTTTACTGTTTGACTATATTGTACTTGTTATTATTTTTTGTTTTCTACTGATGTCTCTTGTTGCACTGTCCACTTTACTGCAAATGTCCCCGCTGTGGGACTAATAAAGGATTATCTTATTATATCTTATAAATGCACAACATGACCGGGGATGTGATCTAAAGCCTTAACACATACATTTATGTGCAGAACATAAAACAGGGAGACCAAACACATCCAAACAAACCTCTGCTTTTACGGACAGTGGCGGGCGATGTTGTGACTCCGCTATAGGACAGGCATGGACAGATGGGTGGCTTTGAGCTTGCTGTGCAGGAACGACAGAGTCAGGCCAGGCCACGACCCCAGTCATGTTGTGTTTTCATAACCCTCAGCCTTTTCAAAAACACCCCGCTCTCTGCCTTCCCCGGCTTCTCAGCAATCTCTTTCTATCTGAAGTTGCCTCTGGACTGTAGATTACACGCTCATGTTCTCATCTGGGAAAAAAAAACATAGGTGGGTGTGGGTGCGTGTAGGTGTGTGCATGCCGTCGGCAGGCTTGTATTCCACACTAATTCTGCGATTCAAAGGCATATTACACACACCTAAGACAGTTGACCAGCAGAACTAATCCATCGGTCTTCTTGGCTGTCAACATGTTGCCCTTCATAGGTATAAGGATGCCTGAACTACCCTCTCTGTCCCCTCCTCCCTCCTTCTCCCTCTCTCACCCCTCCCAGGTGTTCCCATAACTCACCGGGCCTCAAATCCAACGCGGGCATTCCTGAACTTCAGAGGCATATCGGCAGATGAGAGCCTGGATTTATGGCTTGCTGTTAGACAGTGAGGAGGGGGAGCGTAGCGGGGGAGGGAAGGTGATATAGGGTCCGCTTCAAAGAGAAGGAAGCGTTTGTTGTTGTTGCTCTCCTACACTCACGGGTGCACACATATGCACAGCCCCACCCCCCTCGGAACCTCTGGCAGCTGGAGTGCTATCTCACTGGTCTCACACACACACACACACACAAACACACAAATAGGTATCTTAGCTTTCATTTCATTTCTGCAACCTGTATGACCAGATATAGGGGGCGGTTTGGAACTTTGAAGTTTGCCTTTCTTCTTCTCATAGAGACGCAGAACAATTACAGACATGATTTAGCCTTTCATTTTTCATAATATCAAAGGTGACCCTTCAAAGATTGCCTGCAAGCTTTCCTTTTTATTGCACCTGCATGAAATATTCCTCTTGCTTTTAAATGCCACCTCCTTCTGCGCTATTAGAATGTGTTTGTGCGACTTTGCATCAAAGGTCACAGAAAAATGTGCTTGTGTATGGGTGTTTTGTATCTACCTATATTTTGTGTGAGTGCGTTTGTATTCGCGTGTGTGAGCGCACCTCTGTTTCCAACCAGCATGGTTGCTATATTGCAGGGGCCCCGCGGAGCACGAGGTTGATGGATGTGTGGACTGGTGTCGTTTCTCTGAGCCGGATGTGTAATGAACCATGCTTTGCTTCTGTAACATTTGGGCTGATTGATTACAAACAAAGGCCATTCAACATGCAGGGGTGCTGCCTCTTAACAATGCAACATAGCTTCACAGATGAGATTACACGTATACGCATGAGAGAAGACCACTGCGTGCCGCTTGTTAAATTGAAGCTGTGCCGTTATCAAGCTTTCCTTCTGCCCACGTGAGATGAGATGATTCATGGACAATTTTCTCAACTTTACACTGGAGTGCTAGTGGATTCACTTCGCACGTTCACAGAAAAGTACATATAGAACTGTTTCTGTGGCTTTAAATGTCCAAAATGTCTCTTTTATATCCTATTCTCATTCCCTCCGCCCTCCTTTTTCTAATTTAACACTGACTAAGATTTTCCTCTTTGAGTTGCCCAACTCAGCTCATTGTTCAGGTGGAAAGCTGATGTAACTTGTGGCTCCTACTCCCAGTAACCAGGGCGATCCAAAAGGCTCCGGTCCTCCCGCTGCTTAATCAGACCACTGTTTGTTCACTCTCGCTTTTCTCATGGTCTGGCCTGCCAACTAAAACCAGCCAGGCACTAATGAAAAGCCAAATCGCCATCTTTATCTTCTCTCACATGGGAGCTTCAGATGAATTTTAAAACTTTCAAAACTTCTACAAGCATACATATACATATATATCA